CCTCGCTGGACACGTGGGTGTCTGGGCTGTGTGGAGCTGCCCTGTGCAGAGGGGATCCAGGGCCTTGTCTCCCCTGGGGAAATCCAGGGAGGAGCTGCAGTGGGAACAGTTTAACATCTGGCCGTTGGGGTTGTTCGGCCCCAGCGAGCTGCATAGTGAAGTCATTTCAAATTCTCCCTTTAGCTTCTTTGAAGACTTAGAGAAGCGACACCAGGAAAACCTCCTAATTCCTGACATCAGTGACATAGTGGAAGAGCACGCCTCGAACCACTTCCATCCTTACATCAGCTACTGCTCCAATGAAGTCTACCAGCAGAGGACCCTCCAGAAGCTGCTGTGAGTACTGCTGCGTGCTCGGGCTGGCAGAGGAGTTGCCTGTGAGGTGTCTCTGGGCTAGAGGGATGCTACCTGGGTGCAGATGGGACTGGGACCTGCCTCTGGCTCCCCCAGCCTGGGGTTGTTTCCTTTTCCCTAAGGAAGGCTGTCTCCTTTCTGAGCAGAGTTCAACTTCTAGAGCTCAGTGTGTCTGTGTGGAGTGATTAGGATGTGATTTGTGTTGTCTTGTAAGAAGGGTGAAGGACAGGGATAAGTGGGGGCATTGCTACCACATGCTGAAGTCAAGGATCTTGCTGAGGTCACTAACATGGATGTGGTGTGTTAGGGACATGTGTGGAGACCATTCATCTCCAGATCATACTGGTGGCACAGGTCAAGCTTGCCTCTGCTGTTGATACATCTACAGCTTTGCCTGCTGGCTGGTGGACTCCACTTCTCTAGGTGCTCTGCCACCACCTGCTAACGGGTCGGCCTGTCCCCCACCCTGGCTGGGTGCTCTGAGCTCAGCAGGCTGTGCTGAGACCAGGGCAGTGCTGCCCCTGTGCTGCCTTTCTCCCCCAGGGAAAGCTGCTGGAAAATCTTGATAACTGAAGAACAGAGATAATGCAGCTTTCTTGTCCCGTTCCAGAACCACAAACCCCTTATTTAAAGAGACTTTGAAACAAATTGAAAGGAAACCAGAGTGTGGAGGCCTGCCAGTGATATCATTTCTCATTCTCCCTATGCAGAGGGTAACACGGCTCCCTCTGCTCTTAGATGTAAGTAAGTCAGATGGTGACATTGCTTGGTGCCTCTGAAGGGGTGCTGCAGCCTTCTGGGGTTTGCTGTGCCCAGGGCAGCAGAGGCTGGGCTGCCCGAGCCTGTACTGGGGTTTAGATCCAGAGCAATCCCCTTCTGGTGGGTGTCATGTGCAGTGTAAAGCTTTGTGAGTGATGCTTCACCTCGTTGTGCCACCCACCCGAGTGACCCGAGGTCCTGCTGTGCCCTGTGCTGCATCTGGCCCCTCAGGGTGGGGTGGCACGAGCTTCTGGTTTGATGAACAGTGGGGTGGCCCAGGAAGGGAAAGCAGGTCCTGCACAGGTTCTGCTGGGCTCTGGGACTTCTCCACCCAGCAGTCCTGAAGAGCAAAGCTGCCGGGTGTGGGGTTTCTGGGGCTGCTCCCAGGCTGCAGTGGGCAGCAGGGCGAGGGCCGGGAGCTGCCTGGAGCGTGGGGTGACCCGTGGGCAGGAACTGTCTGAGGTGGGAGCCCTGGTGGGAGGCAGCTCAGGGCTACCCTGCTGCCAGGCTGGCTGCTGGGAGTGGCAGTTCTGTCCTGCAGTGGCACTGAAGTGTCTTGTCTTGACATTCTAGACTGTCTGTCAGAAAACAAAAGCTTGCACAGCAGCGTATGGAGCTGCCACCAGAGCTCTGAAAGCCATCAGCAAGGTGAGGTGACCTCTCCTCCTCCCAGCCACTGTTCCTGTGCTCTGGCCTGAGCCTGTCCTTCTGGCCTCTCATTTTTCCTCCCTGCATCAGTTCACCTGAGATTCCTCCTCTCCAAACAGCTGCTGGATGAACTCATCATCTCCCTTACTCACCTGTTCAAGCTGATCTTGTCTTTTCCTTTTTCATGGCACCTTTTTGGCCCATCTTTTGTCCTTCCCTTCAGTGTCATGCTCTCTATTAGTGCTGTCCCCTCTCAGGACCTCTGGCAGCAAGCTGTGACGCTTGCTGTGGCTTTTGGAGGTTTAGGCAAGGAGCAGAAAACAAAGCCAAGAGCCAAGAGTTGAGGAGCAGAGGTGCAGCAGGACGGTTGTGAGCCACGTGCCGTTCGTGCTCCCGTGTCTCTTCTCCACCTGCTTCCCCACCCAGTGGTCATTGGCACTGGGCGATGTGCCACGGATATTATGGCCACCAAAGCTGTTCTGGTGGCTCTTCCTTTTGTCCCACTAGAGGCCAGCTCTCGGCCAGGTGCTTGTGGCCTGTCCCACTCGCTGCTCTGGCAGGGGAACAAAACACAGGAGGCCCGGCGGGGCCAGGCTGGAGCAGCTCCCCCAGGCTGGAGGGGTGGCTGGAGGGACATCTGCTCAGGAGAGACCACGGGAAGGAGCAGGGTGCCACAGCCACCCCCCCAGCAGAGCAAAGGGTGCCCTGGCTTCACCTGCCCATGGAAGGCTTCTGTCCTCCCCTCTGTCTGTCTGACTGTTCATCCTCCTGTCTTAACCTCCTCTCCTCAGGTGACTAATTCTTCCTCTTCTTATTGTTCTTCAGCAAAACTTGGGTTTGCTGCCGTTTCACTTTGGTCCTTCTCCAGGCAGAACAAACACAGAGATCTCTTGTGGCAGGAGAAACTTCCCCCAAACCTGGCTTAGAACCCATGCTGGGACCTGGCTGTGCCCAGAGAAGCTGGGCTGCTGATCCTGCACCAGCAGCACTCCTGGTGTTTTTCTTTTACTAGCTGGTTAAGAGCTGCAACGAGGGAGCTCGTGCTATGGAGAGGACAGAGCAGATGTACACCCTGCAGAAGCAGCTGGAGTTTGGAAAGAAGAAGGTGAGGTCTTTGTGGAAGTGGTGGTGGGAAATAAATCATCTGGGGTTTGCTGGGGTTGATCCCAGGCATGTCAGACCTGTCCTGGGAATCCTTCCAGGAAGCTTTGACCAGCTGGAGCATCGCTGCTGCCAGGAGCAGCGTCACTACTCCATGCCCAGGGTGACTAGTTTTTCCTGCTGTTCTGACTGAAATAAGAGTTTCTGGGCACTCGCCCTGCCAGCTTGGAGTAGAGTGGTCTTGGATAATCCACCGTCCCTCACAGCCCCCCAGTTTCTGTTGTGCCTCACTCGGAGCTCCCATCTCCTGCACGCGGGTGGGGAGAGCTGGGCTGGCCCCTGGCCGGAGGGGGTTTGGGCTGGGTGGCTCAGCTGGCAGTGGCATCTGCCC